GATATATGTGAAGGCTTACGACCACCAATAATACATGGAATTCCTGATGATTATGTGCAAATGATGCAGAGGTGTTGGGATGCGGATCCATCAAAAAGACCAACCATTAGAGAGGTTTATCTATTTTCTTGGAGTAAATGTAATGAAATTATTAAAAATAATACCGGCAGTAGTAATAGTACTAATAATAATAGTAGTAGTAATAGTAATAGTGGTATTAGTAATGATTCACAACAAGTACACAAATCACATCCAGCTGCATACCATACAAGTAGAATCTTAGATAATGAGATTGCTAAATCTAAAAGCTTAAAAGGTTATATAAATAATGATTGTCCATTAAATAGTCTTGATTTTCATTCTCTTCTCTTAAACGTTGAAGGTGAATAATTATTAATTAATTTGGAAATTACTATCCATTAATTATTACCAACAATATTTTTTAATTAATTAGATTCTAGCGAGGAAAGGATTGATGAATGGCTGATTTAACCTCCTACTATAAATTATTTATTCATTATATTTTTTATTTTATCTTTATTTTATTTCTTAAAACTAAATTATAATAATAATAAACTTTCACAGTTTTTTTTTTATTCTTGCTAAATGGTGATATTGTGAGGTATCATTTCAATTAATACTGATTATTTAACAAACATGGCTGATTATGACTTAACTTTGGCTACTCTTGCCAGTTAATTAATTGCAAGCAATTCACAATAATTTGGCGCTTGTCAATTAATTTGTTTACGAATTTACTTTGGTTCTCGATTACTGCACCTAGACAAACTTGTGTGAGCATACTTAATGATGCCAGGTAACTTTAAATAAATAAAGATGGTCCTTTACAAAGCTAAAGGGCTTCTATAAAGTTTTCTTATGATCGATTTATTTCATTTGTTGTGTTTCTTGGTCATTATTTTACATTTACGATTACAATAACATTACCAATTAAATCTTGGACAGTACTTTACCAACCATCACTAACACTCACCAACTAATCAATGTTAGTTTAACCTTTGCTTGCTCTCTAAAGAAAATAAACGTGTATTTATTTTTCCTCTGCTCTTTCAAGCGAGAACTTAGAGTTGATCCAAATTTCTATAATAATTTTTCGAAATTATTTAGAGGAATGCTTTATGACACGTGAAATTTTTTTTTAAACTATGGTTAAAAAAAAAAGGAAGGAAAATATTATTTTTTAATTATTGGAAAATGAATAATTTATCTATTGTTATATTTGTAAAGGCCTTTTTTCTAATCTTTTATATTCTTTGATTATAGATTTGTCAGTAATAAAGGCATTCTTATCCACGAAATTACTTGCCCAAGAGGCACACATATATACTAAGAGCAACGCATGCTTTGCAGGAGAAAATATCTGAGAGTTGAAATGGATGTTAGAGTTAAACCAATTGTTCGATGAAAAATAAATTTGAAGGGGAATTGAACTCTTGAAGTATATGACACCACCATCTTTAACAAATACATAATAGCATCTTTGTGTTTGTTGAATTTTTGGACTGTGAAGGCTCATCCTTTTTTGTTCACGAACGTATAACAAAAAAAAAACGTCTTGATCTTATTCACAATTAGATCAGTAAAAAACGGTACAAAAACTAATGTGGCGAGGTGGAATGAGATAGGATTTGGTTGTTGTTTGGGATTCAAGATGTTTAGTAGATCTTCTGAATATTTATTCCACAATGTAATTATCGAGCAGATAAAAGTCCCTACTACTGCTCTAAAAGAATACCACAGATTAAATCAGATGCATTCTGCTGGATTACAGAGATATGAAGAGGAGGGGGGTTTAAGTCACATTTCATTTATTTTGATATACATACATATTTAATAATTCTTTATTCATACTAGTACTAGTGCGTAATTTCTAAATTGACTAAAATAGTAAAGAATACTGTGTAACAAATAAAAGAAACATAACAATAATAACAACCCGAAAAGAAAATAGAAATATAAAAAGTTAAAATTTACATTCCAAGTAAAATTTGATTTTCTCACCTGTGTAAAAATGACTAAACATAATAAATAAATAAATTAATTAATTGATATCATTATCAATGTTGTTATTTAATCGATATTGCCTTTTAACATTGATACTAACCTATCAGTTATTGTTATCCAGCAATTGATTTACAACATTTTGGATATTTTGAAGTAGGGATGTGATGTAAATTAATTTCTGGTCTCTGGTCAAATTGTTGTCGGCGAAATTATTGACGACAGTATAATTTTGATGATTGTTTGAATTATTTTGATTAATGAAATCGCAATCAACAGAATTCTGACGATTAATACTCGTGATATTAGCTGAGTTCGGTTCGGTAACGAAATTATTTTGATAATTATAAATCGTGGTTTGACGAATGTAATCATCATTGCAAGCGTTTTTATAAATGTCTTCAAGGTTTTGATGAGCCATGTAATTATTATTATCGACGTTTCGATATATTTCTCCAGAATTTTGATTAATATGTTGTTTATAAATCTAAATCATGTTTCGATGGACTTGATTATCGTCGTTGACGTTTTGATTACTTGTAACTAGATTATTAGCGACCGGGTATTGATTAATAATATTCAAATGAGAAGTAACAGTGTTTTGGTCATTAATACTGTCATCACAGTCATCGTATTTATTATTAATGTTAAAAATATCAATATTATTGTTATTATAATTATTATCCATTTTTTAATTTTTATTAGATTTTTATTGACTTTATATATATATAGTTTTTTATTAGTACTACAATTAATACAATTAATCCGAACACAATTGACCAATCCATTTAACACGTTGTTATAATTTATTTATAAACCAACAAACAAAAATTAATTCCGTCTCTAAATTGATTTTTTTGTGCCCCGCATTAATGGTGGATAATTTATACTATTTTCTATATAATTGTTCTATAGTTTGCCACTTACAACCCAAATGTATATTTTTGTAGGTGGCAAACCACTTTTGCGACTCAGTCCAAAATAGCTTGTAAGACTATTTAACTCGTGAGTTCTACTCGTTTTATTGATACATTCGTACCTGTCTATTTGCATACTGTTGGGACAAATGAATTTTTATGAAATAATGTTCATGTTATCACATGATTGTTAACATGAAATCACATGATACAAATTACATGTAAAAAATTATAGTGTCGTGATTAAATAATATTAATAAAATTTTTGAATACCATACTTTGTCCTTTATATTTACAATGAAAAAGGTTAAATAAACAATCATCAACGTTTATAAAATCTGTCTGAAAAGCAAGATGATCAAAAAATAATCCAAAAAGAATTAATTGATTGGTGTGAACAAGAATTTGGTGTAAAAGTTGATCAGTAACTATTTCTAAACATTAAAATGTTCATTTGAGTATTTAGGTAATGAAACAAAACCACTACAAAAACCATTGTAAAAAAAGTCCCGTAATGTCACAAGGTCGTATTCCTCCCATAGGCCTGATAGTAACCGAGAAAGCCAAGTTATTTGCAAAATTGTTTAACATTCCTGATGATTCATTGACATTTTTTTTACAGCAGCCTAAAAATTGTTCGAATGAAATTAAAAAGTTAACTAGTGTAAATAATACTATTAAAAAGATTATTCTGATTCCATGAAACAAAGTACTATTAATGATTTTTTTGGATGAAAAATAAATAAAAATGTCGTATTGATCTTTCTTTTTATAATATACATAAGTTTGTGGGACTTAGTAGTATCAGGATCACTTTTGATGCATATGCATGCTTACATTATGCAAGTAGTTTATAAGTCCTGATATGGAACTGAGCTATATTTATGCAAATGAACAGATTATGCAAATATACGGCATGCAAATAGACAAGTGTGACTATACTTCTGGGAGTAGCCAATTATTCGGTCACGATAACAGCTTACGGCTCTAGCATATAATTAAAAAGAAAAGAAAACACCAATGTGTGTTTATCAAGTCGTCTCCTAATAAGCGAACAAGAATTCTGATTATTTATTCATAGAAGCTTACGAAGGTAACAGGTAAAGGATTCGCAATTTATTATAAAAAATATTTTTTTGACAACATTTTTAAATGGCTATTTATTATATAATACAATACCTTGGATTACGATGTGTTGACAACTCCAAATGAAATCTGATTTGTATAAAACATTCTCTGAGTAATACAATAATATTATTTAAAACTTTCGTGTTAAAACATTGCATTTGTCCTTAAAAAATCAATTAATTCTCTAGTCATTTGTAAATATATTTGTATATTGTAAACCAGGATAGCTATAATAGTCACCGCCACCACATACATATATGTCTAATAATAACATGTATATATATTCCCTATAATTTTTCACACATAAAATTTTCTTTGTTGCTATCCCTATAAAATTTTGCATGAAAAATATATGGAGGAGGCACGGAAAATGCCCCAGAATTTTACATGAAAAGAGCGCTTTTTCATATCTTTTTGTATGAAAAATGTTACTTTTGTTCTAAAATATACCGAAAATGCACGGAAACATATAGGAAATGTATTAATATTAGTATTAGTATTAGTATGGAATTTATATTTTCCGTAAAATTCCATAATTTTTCCATAAATTTCCCCATACAAATACAAAAAGATGTCCTTTCAGATAAAATATTGGGTGCTTTCCATATGGTAAAAACAGAATTATATATTTCACGCAATAGTAAGAATTATATTCTTACATAATCTCATACAAGCGTTCAGTGATCTCACGAAGCAATTCGAACGTAATTAATAAATATTATTAAAAGTATATAATTTTATAATTGTAATCATGGTGATTTATACGGAGATAGTTTATACATATCATATTCATAAATTAATTTCTACGATTCGAAACGATCTTTCAAATTTTTGGGAATTTTACTAATGCGACGTTTTAAATCATTCCACCCGTGAATATTGGTTAGACTATTTCGTTGTTCTTTAACCATATTATTTGAAGTTCCAATTCCATAGGATTCATCAACTTCAGAATTGTTGGCATTAATTTTTTGATTTTCTAGCATAGAAAAGACTCTTTCCGCCAAAGCTGAACCAAAATGGCGTTCCATTCCTATGCTGTCAAGAACTATACATCTTTCGTCATCAATTTTTTCTTCTATTTTTTGTGTGCTATAAATTACGAGCACCCAACATTCTTTGTACTTGGGAACATGCTTTTTGATAGCTTCGTATATTTTTGAGATCTCATTTTCAATCCTTTTTTTTGTTAGTTTCGTATCTATGAAATCTTGTTTACACTGTTCGCATATCATCAAATAATTATGACCATTACTAACAAGAGAAGTATCATATGTTTTTCTAACCGTGAAAATATCTACAAAGTGTGCCGGTATACTATTTAAAACTATAGTACCATCTTCTTCCCATTTTATATGTTCTCTTGTCCTGATGCCAGCGATTTTTTTTTTCGGTGGAAACTGCTCACGAGATCTACAGACATTAACATTCTGAGATAGTATAATATTATATGGAGGAGCTTTTGTACCAAAAATTTTTTCTAGACTTAAGAATATAGGATCACCATTTGATCTTTTTCGTGTCTCACGCTGATAAAAGAACATTATTTTTATTTAAATTCAACTAATAATAGAAAAATACATAAATAATTATAAAAGTATAAGTTAAAAAAATTTGCATGAGAGGAAAATACTCGGACCCAAAGCCATTTATAAGTATTACCTATTCTTTGGACACTCTGACAAAAACTCAACTTTTGTGATTACTACTGCTATTATTATCAATAATATTATTATTACTAATATTTATATCTTCATCATTTTTATTATCTTCTCTGACTTCATTCTCTATATCTTTCTTCTTTTCCTTTTCAACCCATTGCTGAATTGCTCCTAGTGTTTTTCTTCTAGGATTTGTTTTTCATTGGTAGAAGTTTTTTATTGTAGAAACAGCAATTCCCTTTCCCTCTGTAAGTAATTCACGAATTCCAATAGCCATTTCATTAAATGAAAAATCAGGATTCGACCCAGTCTTTTTGTCAAATAATTGCTTGTTATCTTTCCATAGATTTTCTATTTCTTGTGAATATTGTTTATCATCAGTAAGTTTGTTTATTTTATTTTTGAGTTGGCTTTTTCTTGGTTCTATTTTATTGATTATTGATCGATTTTTTGATTTATAATAGAGAGTTGATTTTGTAAGTTTTACAATGAAGTAAGAAACCAAGCAAGTGTCTGATTAACAACCCGCAAAAAAGTTCACAGTTGAAAGTAAGCATTTCTTAAAATGTTATTATGGTTGTAAATATTTATTGATTATTTGTTTGTTTATTAAACCAGAATAAAATTGTGTTTAATGGTAATTATTAGAAGGATTTGTTATTTGAATTTTTTTACCTGAAAACTAAGTGAATTAGTGATGTTTTTATAATGTTTCAATACAAGGCGAGATTATTTACCTTGTTTCAATGTAAATGAGAGAAAAACAAAGATTTATGAAACATATCCTTGAATGTAAAATTTGCTCAAACAAAAATTTTCTTTATTGATAATCATTAATTACATTTTCATAAAAAATTTTCTTTGTAGCAATAATTGGTAAAAAAACTGTCAATATTGTAATAATAAGATTATTTTTCTTATAAGAATTTCTGCTTTTTGTTGGATAATAATGCACCTTCACTCTGCTTTCTTTTCTTAATGTTTATTATTTTTCTCTCTTCTTGGTAAATTTCATAGGTAATCCTTTCTTTTCTTAGATGAGCTTCAAGTGCCTGAGTATCATTTATTTTGAAAATGTAAGGAGAAATTTTTTCACCTTGTTCCTTTTTTAGAATACTTCTAATGGTGCTGTAATTCATAGTAGATTTGATGTGAGTTTCATATTAACTATTTTTGTCTAGATGAATATCATGATCACACTATATTAGTAGCACAATTGAGTTATACAAATCAAGAATTAACAAATGCAAAAGCTTATATGATAAAACTGACTGTTTTCAGCTTTTTAATTTTACTCGCCTGCATTTTCATAGCCTGCAAAGATCATTGAACATATCTCTAAGCATTTTGAGCATTTTCAAACTGCCTTCTTTAATATTATTGCACCATTGTTGACTTCAAATATCTTTCCAGCTTCACCACACCCATATTCAATATGCCATGCTGACCCATTGTCTTTCTTTTCACTGGAATTGTTGATGCAATAACCCATTGTGTATTTTTTTTATTCAATGATGGATAGCTGCATGATTCACCTCTGTTGCAAAAAAAGGTGAGAAAAGTTAACCACAATTATAATAGTAGATAAAGGTTTTTTCTAGGAAAAAACTCACCTAACAATCCATGTCTAAGAAGGCTTTATTGATGAATGTTTACATATGTAATGTGATCCACACTTCAAGGTGATGTTAGCCAGCTAAGCTGTTTACTATCTAAATTGGTAATTTTATTTCTATAACCAGAAGGTAACACGGAAAATCTATTACCACATTTAGAAATTATGTATGCAGATTATTAATGGCTAGCATCACTACCACATTTCAAGGTGATCCTTTGCAAGATGATTCATTTCATATTCAAGCATACTATTATTATAACAATACCTTCAACAATTATGTGCATAACAGTATGACACAATCAAAATGACATTCTATTTACAGATTATATAGTATTACATATTCAGTCATGCTTGAAATTTTTGATTGATTGAATGGTGGATCACATAAATCAGATGAAAGATTAATTCTTGCAAGTCAGAAGTGTTGGACTATTTGGTATATTATCTGAGTAAGTTATAAAATGTGTGTGTAGAACATTATGAAAAGTACACTCACCTTTCAGAAACCATGAAGATACTTCAAAAGATTGTCTGGCATTAATGGCAATCCTTTCTTGTCAAAATCTTTAATTCTTCACATGTGAAGACATCTTGTTGTATATAGCAGGGTTGACAAATGTGCAATCCATTGATGGTCTATTGGAACCATTAATGTAATACTTTAACCATATTTAGTATTTTATTAATGGCAATGGACCAGTAAAATCCATCAGTTCCCAATGGACCAGTCAATTTGCCAACCCTAGTATATAGTTCTTGTCATCTGGGTCAATTAAGAAAGGATGACAGAGGCTTTTGGAAAGTAAAAAAATCATTATTAAATTGCAAAAAAAAAAAGATCAACAAACAAATATTTACTGTTCTTGTGAACATTTCATCCCAAATGTGTATAACGCATCCTCAATAATTTTTCTGGTTGTCAAAGTCCATTTCCTTTGTTTGAAATTTTTTTGAACATATCTATAAATTGTTGATATGCAGATAAGTCGTTTGTATAACATCATCACTAACAACTTCCTTGACATTCACATTTTCTTTATCAGGTTTGATCTGTGCATATTTGAAATGTAAGGAAAGGTGAGAGGCATTTTTGCAGTATTATTTGCAAGTATTCAATGCTAACCTTCTTAGAGGTAATTAAATTCGAATCTAAACTGCCATCAAAAGCATGTTTATCACCTGGTGAATTGCCTCCTCTTTGTCTGGTAAGTGCAGGTGTTCTGCTAGTGTAGTTTGTATAATTTGATCTTGTAATATTGCATTTTTTAGATCTCATTATGCTGTTCTTTCTGTGAAGGAGAAAGGAACAAATTTATTTACAAGATTCTATATGTCCTAATCATCTTAATGGGCTAAAGATAACATACCACCATGACATTGCATTCAATAATATGTTTTTGATTCATTTCATTATACTGGTTTAATTGTTTAACATTCTTGGCCCAGTTCTTAGAGAAAAAAGTGACAGAATTAGCAGATTATTTTCAAATAATAATAAGATTGAGGGAAGGTTTCAAACTTTGCATTCATGATCAGTTGAATTTGTATGTCTATACCTTGACTACGAACTTTGTATTCATGACCAGTTGGCTTTGCATCTCCCAGCATGACTGTATCTTGACTACCTTCTTTAGCCTCACAAATGAGAGACTTTATTCCCTTCATAACCCGTTGGGTCAGGCTCCTGCAGCTGTCCAACCCAACAAGGTAGTACACAAAAGATAAATCATACCTTCCAGTCATTGATTATGAATTGTGCTGTTCTTCTGTGCAGTGGATCAGAGTCAATTTGTATAATCTGTTTGAGTTCAATATTGATATTATAGAGTATTTTTTTAAAAGATGCATATTGAGAAATATACTCCAGATAGCATTATTCACATGACCATTCAGAAACATCCATTTTATAAAAAAAAATTTATATTTGATGATTAAGAACATAAGAAAAGCCACTAAAAAATATATAGATGATCCGAAAAAAAAATTTTTATGCTTTTGTACAACAATAAATCTTCAGTATATAGGAGATTGTAAAGATGGGAGTCGCAATTGTTTTTCCAAGCCGCAATTATTGCGGATTTGGACTGGTGTTGCAACGTTGTAGCCGCAATTATTATAGGAAAGATCTGCAAATCAAAAATAATATTTAGTTTATACTGTAAATAAAAAAAAGTATTATTTTCTAAATTGTTATCGATATGTTTATAAGAACAAAATATAACTTTAGAAATAATTTTATTTTGATACCAAAGAATAAATTTTAGTTGTAGCTTATAAAAAAGAATTGCGGAATTGTGGACAATTGCGGACAATTGCGGATATAGAAAATAATTGTGGAATTGCGGCTTGTTGCAACAAACCATAATTCCGCAATTATTTTCTATATCCGCAATTCTGTACAAGCTCTGCAATTCTTTTTTATATTTTTCATGTAAGGGAAAAATTGATTTAAAAAAAAAAAAGATTTTTATCTTATTTTTTATATAAAAAAAATGTAAAAATGAATAGTGATATAAGTAACTCAACAGGAAGTGTTGGTAGACGTTTTACTGAAGTGTGGGAACATGTTACTAAAGGGAGAGAAATTTCTCGTGGTCATTATGAAGGAACTTGTAATTACTGTGAACAATATTGGTAAAGATGGGAACTACAATAATTTTGTCACAATTACAAATTTAACCAAAATATCTGCAAACATTAAATAAAATATTTAGTTTGTAAAGAAATGATACCAAGAATAAATTTTAATTTGATTTTATAAAAAGGATTTTTGAGATTTGCAAACATAAAAAATATTTGTGGAAATATGGATATTTGCGGACAATGGAAATATTTGCGGAGTTGCGGATAATTGCAACATGTAGTTAATTGCGGACATTGCGGAATTTAAGATGATTCTTTGCAATGTTGCAACACAGTGTTGCAACATCAAATGTTGCAGCATTTCAATTGCGGGACCCATCTTTAGGAGATTGGGGTGTTATACATCAGCATAAACACAAAAATAGTTGAGCAGTAGGGTAAAAACATATTTTCTGGCACACATTTTTGCTACCTGCATCGTACTTTTTGATGTATTAGCTCCAAATTTGCTTTTGAGCAATTCTAGATTATTTTAAAAATTTTGATGTTATACTTTTTATATATCACATTTATGAACCCCAAAATAAATTTAAAGCAAATAATCAATATAAAAAAAATTTCAAACAAATCGTACTTTTTATAAGTATTCTAGAATACATTCTAATCCATCAACCGTTGGCATTGGCCTTGTGTTTTCATATTTGTACTTTATCCACAAAAGTCCCATAGTCCGGGATAGAAAAATGGTTGATGTTTTCAAAAAGGGAAAAGTCCATCCAGAGGTCAATCCACCTATCTCAAAAAAACTGGTCAAATGTGAGAATCTTGAAAATGATCTGAGGAAATTTTTGCAATGCTCTTTAAATAGTAGATACTTTCTGATTTTGGGCAAGCTTGGAACAGGAAAAACAACCTTGATTCAAAGTACCATCTTGAATCTCCAAGAGCCAAAGGTAAATCTTTCAATGTTCTTCTCTTTTCGATTTATTCACATTTGGTTTCTTCTTGATAGGGTGTCGTTCACTTTGTGTGTCCTTCAAATGTGAAAGAATTTGCAAAGAATTTGGCACAACATCTGAATTGTGAGTTATATCCATTTAAGTTGAGAGATATTGTCGTGCCCAATGCAATAAGGAAAGGTACCATGTGGTTTCTTTTTGTACTTAATAGCAATTTATGCTCACAAAGGCTCCATCTGCTGTAGAACAAGATAACCATTCAGAATACTCTAATTGGAATCTCTTAAGCATACAACTTCTCGATACAACATATAACTATATGAAAAAATACAAACACCCGATGGTTTTGATTCTTGATCAAGTAGACCGCATTGTTATGAATGACCAAAAGTTTATTGAGATACTCCAAGATTTTGCAAAGGACTGTGCGGATGAAAGTTCTCTTATCGTTGTATTTATTGCAAGTGAAGGCTTGGTTCCGCAAATTATGAGATGTAGGGATGATATGATTTTAATATTCTGCTATACATGGCTGAGTTATTATTAAATCTCATTCCTATTATTTACAGCTCGCTCTTCCCGGTATGATCAAAGCATTTCTCAGTGTCTGTTTTAGATTGATTCAGACCTTTCGGTTGGAATGACTCTTTCTTGGTTGGGTTGAGTGAATCAGACAAAGGATTAGATTTAATTGATTCAGAGGAGTTGGAATTGGATGAATCAGACACTGGCTCAAGTTCAGGTAAACCACGCTTATATCTCATTCTATCTCTTAGCTCAAATTCAACTCCTCTTGGTCGGGAATAAATATGATACACATCCACTTCTACTGCATCAATTAACTCAGAAAGTTCTTTATACAGCTCAATATTAGTTGAGTGTTTCAATCGCTTACCATTTTGGGGGATGTATATATCAAAAAAATATTTTATTTGTGAGCTTGATCTCGCAATCAATGATTTTTTCTAATTCATCAATACCAATTCATCCGAAATTTCGGAAAAATAATTATGATAATTATGGAATTAGACCTTTATAAAAATGCCTCATGAACTGTGCAAACAGCTTTCAGATCATGGCTGAAGATAAACAGCTAATATGGGAATTAATTATAGACAGGAAAAAATAACAGATATAGTAATTAAGAATACCAATATTTACTTAGAACAAGGCATAATTATAAGGGTGAAAAATTCATTCATATAGTATGGATGGATAGCATTGGTTATAAATTCAATTATTATTAAAAAAATTTTATTAGAAAAAATTATTGTCTGGTTTTGCATTGAAAGCCAAGTTCTTTTTCATCACTTTTTGGACATTGAAAAGTTTTTTCATCAATTAGAATTTATTTACAAAGAAAAGAGGTCAACGTATAAATTTAGAAATTATTGAGAGGCTCAAAGTAATGTTTCTCAAGGTAATATATGAAATTATCAGCCGAAGATATGTGATATACCCAAATCAAGAGTTAGAGTTCAAGATTTAATAAACAATAAGAGCAATTTCATAAATTAACTTTAACATAAAAATAAATTAATTAAAAAAATATTCCTTAGCAAGCTTTTTCTTATGTAAAATTTATGACTTTACGTGAAAAAAACTTTTAGATATAATTCCAAGTGCTGTGATTTTCAACTATGTTATAATAGACTAACATGAGAAGCACAAGAACCTTTCTCCATTTTTCTAAGGTTAAATAATCACAACGTTTTTTCCTCAAAGAATATATCCTTCATCCACTACCACATCTGAAATCAGTACTTCTCCCACCGAGACGATTGTTCCAGCTGTAACTGAAGCTGTTGGCGGAACATCTGACGAAATGTCCGATGCTTGTGGTGAAGATATTTTATATACTTTAATATTCTTTCATTTTTATACTTATATTTTCCATTTTTTATAGGTAAAAAAAGAAAAACAAGAGAAACTCTTTCACAAAATACAAAGTGTAGCCAAAGAATTAAGCAACCATTGTTGCTAATATTATCAAATTTAATAAATTTTTAGTAGTTATTCTGTAAAAAAATCCATATTACAGTCGGCGCTCAATATAGTGAACCTACTATATAGTGAGTGAATCATACGATATAATGGATGTTTCTGAATGGTCATGTGAATAATGCTATCTGGAGTATATTTCTCAATATGCATCTTTTAAAAAATACTCTATAATATCAATATTGAACTCAAACAGATTATACAAATTGACTCTGATCCACTGCACAGAAGAACAGCACAATTCATAATCAATGACTGGAAGGTATGATTTATCTTTTGTGTACTACCTTGTTGGGTTGGACAGCTGCAGGAGCCTGACCCAACGGGTTATGAAGGGAATAAAGTCTCTCATTTGTGAGGCTAAAGAAGGTAGTCAAGATACAGTCATGCTGGGAGATGCAAAGCCAACTGGTCATGAATACAAAGTTCGTAGTCAAGGTATAGACATACAAATTCAACTGATCATGAATGCAAAGTTTGAAACCTTCCCTCAATCTTATTATTATTTGAAAATAATCTGCTAATTCTGTCACTTTTTTCTCTAAGAACTGGGCCAAGAATGTTAAACAATTAAACCAGTATAATGAAATGAATCAAAAACATATTATTGAATGCAATGTCATGGTGGTATGTTATCTTTAGCCCATTAAGATGATTAGGACATATAGAATCTTGTAAATAAATTTGTTCCTTTCTCCTTCACAGAAAGAACAGCATAATGAGATCTAAAAAATGCAATATTACAAGATCAAATTATACAAACTACACTAGCAGAACACCTGCACTTACCAGACAAAGAGGAGGCAATTCACCAGGTGATAAACATGCTTTTGATGGCAGTTTAGATTCGAATTTAATTACCTCTAAGAAGGTTAGCATTGAATACTTGCAAATAATACTGCAAAAATGCCTCTCACCTTTCCTTACATT